CTCACTCTCCTTTGACACCAGTGTCTGTAGGCTGCACTGCGCAGAGACATTGGTCTGGCCTCATTCAAAAGGCCAGGTGTTTTCATCTCTGGTCTTGAATTTTTCATGTTGCCTCAGTTTCAGGAGAGAAGAAAGGAGAGCTGCGGCTCCTTTCCCCAGAATGAAAGGAAAAGGCAGCGTGGTTTGGTGGTTATGATCATGGACTTTGGAGCCAGCAGACCTGGAGTCAAATCCCAACTTTGCTGCCTCAAAGCTATGTGACCTTGGGCAAGTCCATTCCCTCAGAGCATTTGTGTCTTCACCTTAAAAATGGGCTCTGGCCAGGTGCGGTGGTTCACACCTGTAATCCCAGCAATTTGGGAGGCCAAGGCGGGTGGATCACTTGAAGTCAGGAGTTCGAGACCAGCCTGGTCAACATGTGAAACCTTGTCTCTACTAAATACAAAATATTAGCCGGGCGTGGTGGCATGCCTGTGATCCCAGTTACTGGGGAGGCTGAGGCAGGAGAATCACTTGAACCTGGGAGGTGGAGGTTGCAGTGACCTGAGATCGCGCCATTGCACTCCAGCCTGGGAGACAGAATGAGACCCTGTTTCAAAAAAAAAAAAGAACTCACAAGAATAACTCCCAGGAGTCTAAACGTGAGGATGAAATGAGATGGCGTAGGCCAGCTCTTGGCATGGGACCTGGCACACAGTAAGTGCTCACTAAAAGTTGGGAGTGTGAAGGGGCTGGTGGTGATGATGACAGCAGTGATACCAGGACAGCAGGTGAGAGATTGGGCCATGGAGAGTGGCTCACACAGCAGGTACATCAGCCAGGGTCCTGCTAGGAAAAAAAAGCCATTCAAATTCAGGAGCTTGAGGGAAGTTTTTAATAAAGGGACTATTTCCAATATTGAGGGTGGGGTTTAGGAAAAACAAGAGTGAGACTACAGTGCCCTTTGGGGCTGGAACCTGTGAGAAGCCTTGCCTGACTCCTAGGTTTGAACAGACAAGAGGGAACAATGACCATAACCTGGAAAGGTACCTGTATGGAGAGAGTTGGCTGCCAGGCAGAGTCCAGGGAAGTGTGCGTCTCTCCCAGAGCCCCCACACTTGGCCTTCTCTTTCCCTGACTCTTGCCCCTTCCCCCGTATCTCCCCATCACTCTTTCTCCATTGCTTTTGGGCAGCTGAGTTGGATGAGGTGGGAAATGTAGGCAGTGTGATTTTATAGCAAATGGCAGCTCATAGTTCTGTGATCTTGGGCAAAATGTTAACCCTCTCTGAGCTTTGGTTCCCATCGTTATCCAGTGGGAGAATCAGGACTGCTCTGAGGGCTGAATGAGACCATGAAGGTAAAGCTCTTAACACGGGCAGCGAAGTCCCCCAGACGTGCTTGCTCTTTTCCCTGCTAACCAACCTTGGACTTGGTGAGTTCTCCCTCACTGGAATGGGCCAGAGAAGTGAGAAATGGCCGTGGGTTGAAGTCTACATGTCTCCACCGTTGCTTGAGCCTTCACACCCATCCAGACCAGATATCATCCCAGGCCCACTTGCTCTCTTCTCTAACCCCTCTCTGTTCCCGGCTTCCAGGCCCACACCTATGGCTGCACCTTTCTCAGGTAGCCCTTCACCAGAAATGTCCCCTTCTTTCTACCTAAATCCAATGTGTTCTCAGGGTCCTGCTCAAGGCCCTTCATCCCGGAGGCCTTCCTCGACCCATTTATCTCCTGCTCTGAACGTGCGCAGTCCTCCTGGTCCACAGCAACACCTCCTGCGTGTGTGCCGCTTCTGGAGCTGCAAGTTCACTCCTGGTATTTAAGAAACATGAGGCAGGGGCGTGGGACCAGGGCAAGTCCCTGCCCCTCCCTTGGTTTTTATTTTGACTGTTGTCAACTGAAGCATTTCCCTTACAGGGCCTCTATGCTCCCACTGCCACGCACCCTCAGCCCCGGTGGTGTAGACAGCAAGTCCTCACTTGTTGGCTGAAGGATGGAAGACTCTGAGAGGGTCCACCCCTCTCAAAGTCCCTCTGAATCCACCGGCTGCTGGCCAGGACCTTTAAGGGCTACTCTGACCTCATATAAGTTGTGAGGCTCAGCCTCAGGAGTTTCTGCAGAGAGATTTGGGATCTGGCTTTGCCCTGTGCTTCCACAAGGGCTCTAACTGGGCCCCTTGAGGCCAGTTCACATCCCACCACTTAAGGTGCTGGGCTGGGTTTAAACTGAAGTCACTGCCACCCAGAGCTGCACTAGAGAGAACTTGCCAAGCCCAAGGTTGGTTAGCAGGGAAAAGCGAGCATGCCTGGAGCTCATAACTATCCGTGTTAAGAGCTTTACCTGCATGGTCTCATTCAGCCCACAGAGCAACCCTGATTCCCTCACTGAATAAGGATGGGAACCAAAGCTCAGAAAGGGTTAACATTTTGCCCAAGATCACACAGCTTTGAGCTGCCATTTGCTACAAAATCACACTGCCTACGTTTCCCACCTCATCCAACTCAGCTGCCCAAATGTGGGGGTGGGACAGGACTCAGAGGGAAGGAAAGGCCAAGTAAGGGAGGGGTGGTCTCTGGAAGACAGACACACTCTCCTGAGTCTCGTTGCATGGATAGTTTGTCCTCACAGGCTGCTTCCTCAGACTCCAGGCCCCAGACATGGCATGAGAAAGCAGGGCTGACTATGAGCCACATCTGTCTCCCCAGATTCTTCTTGCTGTCCAGCCAACAAGATCCTTCCTTCCCCAAGAGCCAACCCCAGATCCAGCCTCAGGGGCTTGCCCCTCCCAGAACTATGGGCTCCCTAGTGGCCACATGTAACCCCTGGCCCCTCCTAGAGCTCCAAGTGCTCTCTCCTGGGGGTAGGGAGTGGGCACAGTTATCTATTAGCTGTGAGATTAATCATTCCCTGCTCTCCCTCACCCTGGAATCTCCCTGAATCATCACAGCTTGGATCTGGCCCCTGGGCATTTGAGGAGCAAGCCCACTTTTCTGGGCTGGGGAGGTAGAACTCACCTTGCTGGAGAAAGGGGAGAAGGTAGAGCAGCTGGGCTCATGCTGCTGTTAAGGCCTTCTCACAGGCGAGGAGGAAGCAGTTCTTAGAGGAGGTTAGGGCAGGCACAGGAGCTGCTGTCTCAGGGGTCCTTGGTCTGGGGAGGTGAACAACCAGCAAGTCAGGGGGTAGAAGAGCCCTCCTGGTGGCTGCTGAGTGCACAGGGCCCGCTTGCACTCTGGAGCCAGACGGCCTGGAACCAGTGCCCAATCGCATTATCTTCTTCCCAGGCAGGAAGATGGCACGGGTGTGGCTGCAGAGGCAGAAAGCTCAGATGCCAGGGAGGATAGCTGAGTGACAGCCCAGAGCCCCGGGGACTGAGGCAGAGCTGCAGGGCAGGGCAGGGACCACAGTGAGCCAGGCAAGGTGGCCAGGGCGCAAAATGTGAGGAGGCTCTGTGTCAGGAACGGAGCGCTCCCATAGCCCTGAGAGTGAGTGCTTCCTTAAAGTTTGCTTCCTAGGCACCTGGCTTGTGTCTTCAGTCCTGCTGCTGGAGAAGAAGCAATGGCTCCCCACCCCCTCACCCTGCTGGCCTAGCCTCCTAGACTTAGGAGGCCTGAGAGGCTGGAAGAGAGGTGCTTTAGGGAGACTGGGGGAGCAGCCCCTGAGACCTTTCCACACATACACACTGTGCTGGGACATGTTGGCCCACAAGGGAGATAAAGCACAGTGCTCACAGCCAGGCCATTCCTGGTCAGGCCCCCAGTCCCAGAGCCCCAGCGGTACCACTCTTGGCAGGCCTAGACGGGGAGAAAATTAGGAGTGGGGTTCCCGACTTCCATCCCCCACCAGTGTCTGGGTGGCCTTGGCTGGTCCTTTCAGTTCTAATCAAAGACAAAGCCTCAGTTTTTCTGTCTCTAACCTGGGAGAACCACATCCTCGCTGCTGCTCTTTCTGGAGTGGGGGTAGAGAGGGAGGCTGGGAGGCCTCTGCAAAGCAGGAGTCTTCTGCCTCCTGGCTGCCAGACTGGTCCTGCTCTTCGGCCAGATTAAAAGAATCTCCAACAGGGGCCCAAAATAGGTAGAAATGAGGCAGGCCACAGGGGCCTCCCAAACACCTCTGAACACTGCCCAGCACCCCAGATCCCTCCTCTTCTAGCCCAGGATTTCTCATCATCCTTCAAAGCCCAGTTCAGACCTCACCTCTCTATAGAACAACTCCCCACCCCAGGCCAACGACTAGCCTCTCCTCATTCTGCCATCTCACCTCACCAAAAGCACTTAGAACCCTGCCTGGTGTGCTGCAAATGCTCCACTAAAAGACATACTTTGTCTTTGTAATAATTTCTTGCAGCACTCAGAACTGAACCATAATCTTTGGTTCATACTCTAGTGCCATCACTGGCCCATCATGGCTTTCTCTAATTGTTTAATTCTAATTTATTTTCAATAATATAATGAACTCCCATTAACTGACCACCCAATCTAAAAACCCAAAGGTTTAGAATGTATGCTCTTACCCTCTTCTCTCCCCCATCTTCCCACCTACCCTCCCAGAAGAAACCATCCTCTTGAAGTTTGTGTTTATTATTATCAAATAAATGGAAGACTATAGGTACCCAAAGAGGCACGATGGCTGGTAGATTCTTCAACAGAAGTAGCTGTTTTACCGATCAAGCTGCAACGCTCTTGAGAGCAGTGTCTGGCTTCCTCTTGTGCTGCAGTGTGAGCGGCATGGGGCTGGCCATGCCACAGGGTCGGTGGAGACTACGTGAGGCACCAAGAACAGGAAGGGTGAGGCCTGAGTGCCAGGCGGCAGGTGGAACACAGCTCCAGGAATAGGGAAAAAAGCTTCGCGTTCTAGCTCACTGCACCTGGACAGGTGCCTGTGTGACTTCGGCCCTGCCCTGTGACATCACACAATGTTGCCCAGGTGACCCAGCTAGGTGGAAAAGCTCACTGCTTTTCCAGGCCTGGGCAGAGAGAGGGCTCTTCCGTCTCTCCACCGTCCTGGGGGTGCCAAGAGTCAATCGCCTCGTTGCTGACCCTGTCCAACTGGCCATGGCCTGCAACCCCCTAGGCCCCTCCACCCATAGACCATCTCGCTGCTGAGAGATCGAGGACCTGCCCCCACCTGGCCACCCTCCCCCTTCCCCAACATCCAGACCCCAGGGCTGGTGTGTGGCACCCCTGAGACCACATTGACCTCCATACTGTCTACTAACCATAAGGACTCCAAGACGCCCAGGCCAGCTGTCTGGGCAGGACTGATGCCTGATCACCCACTTATACCAAGTACTCGTCCCCAAGATTGTTAAACAAGGCCAGACACTCCTGGCCTCAAGAGGATGGGACTGAAAAACAAAAAGGTAAGGCCAGGGGAATGGGCCACACACCTGCATGAATCCATCCCTCCTTCAAAGTCTCTCCTTCAAAGTTTCATTTGTTCCTTAATCATGACAAAAGCTTCCCTTCTCTGGGTCTCAGTTTTCACAGCTGTGAAATGGGGAGTGAGGCGGTCTCTGTGGCTCTCCCAGGTTAGCTGCCCTATACTCTTGGGCCACGTGGGAACTGGAATGCAGTGTACTTGCGGGTGTTGTCAATGCTGACCACCCTTACCTGCTTGTTTCTGCTCTCTTGTTGCTGGGGTCACACAGTCTGAGAGCCCACTGAGATGGTTCATTACCCCCATCCAAGATCTCCCAGGATATTCCCAGGCTGCTACCTTGGCAGCCCTGATGCCCCCACTGCCCCCATGCTCTCCTAGCCCTGGCCTTGATTTTCTGGGGCCTAGGCCCCTGCCCTGGAACGCAGATGCTTGGGTCTCTGGAGAGAAGGGATTTTTGTGTGTTTTGTTCATCTCTGTATCCCCAGCACTCAGAACAGTGCCTGGCACATAGTGGGTGCTTAATAAAAAGCTGTGGCCTAGCAGCAGGGTTCTGCCAGGAAGGGACTAGAATCTTATTGCAATGAGATGTAAACAGTTCAGTGCAAGGGACCCCTTACCTTCCTCTCACTAGCAAGGCAGAGACCCTGCCCTAGATGGTGTTACCCACAGGGATAGCAGAAGGAGCTGAGACCAAAGGCACGTCGGTACTTGCAAACGGGGAATACCCTCTTTGTAGTTACACTCAGCTTGAATAAGCCAAATAGCTGGGGGTGCTCAGGCCCTAGTGTGATTTCCACTTTATGACCCTTGATTTTGATGTCTCTGGTTCCTGATGTTCTCTGCCCACAGCTGCCCCCGACCCCCCGCAGACTCCACCCTCCCCATTAAGCCTCTTTCTGTAATGCCACACACTCAGGACCAGGCACCAGTTTGATCTGGCACCCTAAGCTGCCAGGTGGTCCCCACCTGCCCCACATAGCTGGATTTGGGGATCCAGGGAGTGTGCGTGGGAGTCCTGAGGAGGAGCCAAGGTTGCTTTGATTGGTAGCTTTGAGAAGCACTTTGATAGCTGGGTAGAATTGCCCATAAGGATGCTCATCATGGCCGGCGGGGGTGGCTCACGCCTGTAATCCCAGCACTTTGTGAGGCTGAGGCAAGTTTAAGACCAGCCTGGTCAACATGGTGAAACCCCGTCTCTACTAAAAATACAAAAATTAGCTGGGTTTGGTGGGACACAGCTGTAATCCCAGTTACTCAGGAGGCTGAGGCAGGAGAATAGCTTGAACCTGGGACGTGAAGGTTGCAGTGAGCCGAGATCGTTCCACTGCACTCCAGCCTGGGCAACAGAGTGAGATTCCGTCTCAAAAAAAAAAAAAAAAACGATGTTGGCCAGGCACAGTGTCTCACTCCTGTAATCCCAGCACTTTGGGAGCCCAAGGCAGGAGTTTGAGACCAGCCTGGCCAACATGTTGAAACCCTGTCTCTACAAAGAGCGAAACTCCGTCTCAAAAGAAAAAAAAAAAAAAAGGATGCTCATCATGTATATAATATATATATTTGTGTTTCTTCTTTTGTGAATACCCAGTTCATGTTTTTTTAATTGGGTAATGCTTATAGGTTTCAGTGCTCTTTGTATACTACGGATATTAATCCTTTTTTAAATATATAGCAAACATTTTCTCCTTTTTTCCTTTTCTTTGTATTGCAGGGCATTTTGGATCATTACAGAAGTTTGTATAGATTTTTAAAATGTAATCAAACCTATCCTTTTTTAATGATTTCTGACTTTTGTGTCATCTTTGGGAATACTTGTCTGCTCCAAAGAACACAATTCCTCTTGCTGCCACCAATGGATACTCAGGTTATGAGTTCAATGGGGTATCCACTGTGGAGCAGAGAAGGGATCCACATCCAAGGAAGCATGGTTAGAGCACAGCAGAGACAGCAAGAGCGTGGGGTCAGACGGACCCTGCTTCCAGTTCCAGCCCCGGCCCCACTAGCTAAGCCGTGTGCTTTCACGCAAGAGGTTTACTTTCTCTGAGTGTGCTTCCTCACCTGTAAAAGAGCTTTCCCCTAACCACCATAACTCCCAGGCAAGTTTAGATGCCAAAGCTAGAAGGAACATGGGGAACCATTTTTAACCGAAAGTCCTTGTGAAACTGCTGGGAAATAGCCCCACTGCAGTCAAATAACTCGCCTAAATGACAGATCCAGGCAGTCAGGCACCCTGCCTCGCCGCCCAGTCCCTCTCCAGCTGGTGTGACTTTTCAGATGCAGGGTCCTTCTGGAGGGCAGAACCGGGCTCAGCTCCTCAGGCCTCCCAGACTGCTGGAGGAGAGGGGTGGCAAGGGAGGCGTGGGTGGAAGAGTTTGTTTCCTTCCATCTCTCTCCCCACCAGAACCAAGTTAAGCTCCCCCACCCCACCCACAGGAGCTGAATTCAAGGATCATTAACTCCCTGTTGTTCCTACCTCCTCCTCTCACCCCAGCCCTTCCCCCCAGCACATGGATCCAAAAACGCCCTGAGTGATGGGCAGTCCTAGTTCCCCTGCAACATCTGCTGGCTAATCCTGGCCTGTTGAGGGCAAGGCTGCCTGTCTGATTGGATAAGGGCGCTTGAGTTAGCAGCTTCCAAGCTTGCCAGGCTCAGTGGAGTAGCTGACAGTGCTGAGCTTTGGAATCAGGCAGGTTTCGGTGCTCACAGCCCGGCCTCCCATCCACTGGCTGTGTGGCCTTGGGCAGGTAAACTGGCCAAACCCCTGCCTGGAAAAGCTGCCTGCTTATCTCTGCACCCTAGTAGTGTTGGGTGGGTTAAGTAAGAGTGAGCCTTAGAAGCTGATGGTGAGCATCCAGCTCTGCTCCCAGCCAAGAAGAGACATGAATTCCCTCCCCAGGGCTCACTACACCCCTACAGATGGGTTTGTGCCACCTGAGACTTACAGGAGGGTGCCCCATCACCCCCAGTTCACTACCCCTCTTGTAACCCAGTATGTGCATTTTCTGCTCCCTCATCAATCCTCCAGTGCAGGCCAGGGGTAACAGATGGGTTGAGGACTTTGGTTCTGATGCAGGACATCTCGAAGGGAAGCCTGCAGATTCCCATCCAGACATGGGAATAAAAAGGGGATAGCGGGAGGATAGCAGCCCTGGACCACCATCCCCATCCTGGCCTCACCCTTGGCCCCAGGCCTCCCTGGCCCTGGGCCCAGCCTGCCCAGCGGGCACATGCCTGCAGGCCTCACCAGGAGGCGCCAGCCTGGCAGTTGGCCTCATGCCCAGAACTGAAGCACGAGCAGTTCTCGCCAAACTTCCTGCAAGCTTTATTCCCAGAAGGGAAGGCGGTCCCCAGGGGAGGCGCAGGGGAGGTAGAGGAGGAGCCGGTGTGACTCCTGGCCGGGTCTGCAAGTGCCTAGTTGGGCTCTGGGGCTGCCAGGGAGCCAGTAAGGGCCCTTGGACAATGGTCTTGCTCCTGGGCCCTCACTTGTATGGCCCCAGGGAGCTCACGACAGGCCCTGTGCCCTCACAGCAGAGGGAATCTGTCTAGGAACATGAATCACCCCTCCCAGCCTCACTGCAGGAACTTCAGAGACAGTAACCACCGGAAAGGCTGAATCACAAACCATTCCAGACATTCCCATTGGCCAGGTGGGAAAACCAAGGCTCAGAGAGGTGGTGCAGAGAGGTAGGGCCAGAGCTGAGCTGAAACCTAGGTCATGGAGTCTCACTCTATCGCCAGGGCTGGAGTGCAATCTTGGCTCACTGCAACCTCCGCCTCCCAGGTTCAAGCAATTCTTCTGCCTCAGCCTCCCAAGTAGCTGGAGTTACAGCCTCATGCCACCATGCCTGGCTTATTTTTATATTTTTAGTAAAGATGGGGTTTCACCATGTTGTCTAGGCTGGTCTCGAACTCCTAGCCTCAAGTGATTCGCCTGCCTCGGCCTCCCAAAGTGCTGGGATTACAGGCATGAGCCACCAGTCCGGCCGAGTTGAAACCTAGGTCTTTTGCCCTGAGGCTGCCAGCCTTGCTCCTACGCCACTAAACCAGGAGAGCAAGGCTGCTGGGGAGTGGGGGGTCATGGTGGCGTGCGTGAGGGTGGATATGGGAGGAAGTTGCCTACCCAGGAGGGCAGGGAGCAGCACTCTGGCTGCTCCCCCTCCCTCACCTCCAGGCAGGGGCATCTTCCCCTCCCCTCATTCTCCCCTGACAGGAGAATGGGGGAGAGGAGGAGGGGCAATCCTCATCAACACCTCTGCAGATGGTGACAGGCCCTGCTGGGTCCTGGAAGAGGGTGAGGGTGGCCTCCTCAGTCAGAGGATGGAGAGGAGGGTCTCTCTCTGCAGGACTGGCACTTCTGATCTGGGGGGCATGTAGTCTCACCTCCTAATTAGTCATCTTGCTAGGCAAGGACCACAGCCTGCACCAGGCAAGCCAAGGGAAGCAGGGGAGCAAGGCACAGGGACAACAGTTCTGGGGTGACACCCAGGGAGGAACAGTCCAGGCAGAGGAAACAGCTAGGGCAGAGGCAGGGAGGCAGGAGGGAGCTTGGTGGGTGTGAGAAACAGCCAGGAGGCCAGTGTGGCTGGAGCGGAGTGACCTACAGGGCCCGTGGGACAAGATGAGGTCAGTTTTCTGGGCCAGCTCCTGGAGGGCCCCACAGGCCATTGCAAGGCTCTGAGAGAAGCAGTAAGCTACTGCAGGGCTCTGAGCAGAAGAGAGAGGGATCTGGGTCCAATCTGTAAAGGCTCACTCTGGCCGCTGTGTGGGATTGGATGGGGTGGAGGCAGAGCCGGAGAGGAAACAGAACTCCATCAGAGGCGAGTCAGGACATGCAGGTGTCTGGGACCTGAGTGCTGACCTGAGGATGCTGAGAAGGGGTCAGAGTCCAGATATGGTTTGAAGGGGGAGCTGACAGGCTGTGCTGAGGAACTGGATAAGGGATGTAGAGGGAGAGAGGGAAGAATCAGGAAGGACTCCAAGATGTGGGGCTTGAACAACTAGAACAACAGCATCGCCATTAACTCATTAATGAATTGGGGCAGGCAGCAGGAGGAGGGGTTTGAAGAGGAGTCAAGAGCTCGTTAGCCTTGAGAGGCCAGTAGACCCCCAAGGGGAGCAGTTGAGGGGAGGTGTGGCTCTGATTGGTGGGCACCCCATGCTATCGTGAGAAATGGATGAAATAACGTTCCTAAAACTCCTCAGGGCAGAGCAGAGCCTCAGGCACTGTGCCCTTTTCTTTCCCTCTGCCTGAGGCTTCCAGGAGCCAGCAGGGGTGGTCCTGTGCCGGGGACCCCCAGGCTCAAGTAGGAGCAGAGCAGGCTCCAGATAGGCCGGTCCAAGCCCTCATCTCCCCACGGGTGACTCTCAGAGCACGGCTGGCTTTGGGGCCCAGCATGGTGAGGGGCAGAGCTGGTTTAAACCTGGCTCTACTGACACTCAGGGCTCCTCAGGAACCGGCCGTTCTGAGCCAGGGACCAAGCCTGCCGAGGCTGCCACCAAAACCAGAGCCCATCCAGGGCCCAAGTCCTTGCTTCTGTCTAGGCCTCAATCTCCCCTCTATGTAATAGGACATTGTTCTCAGCCCCACCCCACCAGGGCCTGCCCTGGAATGCAGGGTCTGACAGGCTGAGCTTTCCAGAGATGAGGAACAGCCCCCCAGTGGCCCCTCAGGGCCCTGCCTCCACCCTGAGGAGGTCCCTCGCTCCTCTCCCAGGGCCAAGAGTGCCCCTCTATGGCCCCTCATATCAGCTGGAGGGACAAAGGGTAGGCGAGACCTCCCACCATGAGAGGCCTATCAAGGGTTAATCTAGGTCAGATTAACTGGGAGTGGAAAGTCAGCCAGCCGACCAGTGGAGAACCAGGACCAGGGAGGACGAGGACACCCCTGAGCCACAGCAGCCCTATGGCCACACTCCTCCTCACCCCACAGCGCTTATATGCCCAGCTCTGCCATCTTCCCTGAGTCCCCACTGCCTCCCCAGTCAAAATGAGCCACCTCTGGGCCTTGGAAAGCTCTGCCCCTTCCCGCTTGCTGCCTTTGCTCCAGCATTCTGCTTCTGGCCTGTCCTCCCTGACTCCACTCCTGCACCTTCTTCCAACCCTTTAAGGCCTCCTCCTTCTTGCTGTCTTCCCTGACTGCCTCAGCCACCCAGAGCTCTGTCTTCTCTCGGCAACTCTCATCACAACGGTCCTTTGGGCCATGAATCCACGAATTACTAAACTGCTGAGTCCCTGCTTGAGGCAACTGGCGTAGGAGGCCCCCTGCATGGGCAGGCACCTCTTCCTCCCCAGTCCACAAGTTTCCTGGGTAGAAGACAGGTGGGGCATCTGGGACAGATGCACGAATTCACCTCCATGTGCACTGAGTGCCCCCGTGGACGTGGAGAAACTTTGTCACCTGTAAAGTGCTGTGCACAGGAGGGGCCTGAGGTGATGGGTGGGCTGAGCTGAGGTTACAGGATAGACTGAAGAAGGTGGCCCATTGTTAGAACTGCAAAAGCAGGTGGGATTTAGGAATTACAGACAAGGGCACCTGCGAAAGCCAAGGCTTAGAAGTGGGACCGGACTTGAAAGGTGAGGTGGCCTGTCTCATCCTGCAGGAAGGGTAGGATCCAGGGCTGGGGGAGAGGATGAAAGGCACTGCAAGAGATGTGGGATGGGAACAGAAGTAGGGAGAAAATGAGGCCAAGGCGACTGACTTACAGAGTGGGCGGAGGGGTGACAGAGGGAGGCAGGCACTTGACGGGAGCTGTGAGGGGCTAGATGCTAGAGGGTGGCAGTGAAGGGAGGTGCCGAAGCAGAAGAGGCCACTCAGGGCCAGGTGCGGTAACTCATGCCTGTAATCCCAGCACTTTGGGAGGCCAAGGCAGGCAGATCACCTGAGGTCAGGAGTTGGAGACCATGGGGAAACCCCATCTCTACTAAAAATACAAAAGTTAGCTGAACGTGGTGGCATTTGCCTGTAATTCCAGCTACAGGGGAGGCTGAGGCAGGAGAATTGCTTGAGCCTGGGAGACGGAGGTTGCAGTGAGCCAAGATGGCACCACTACACTCCAGCCTGGGCAACTGAGCAAGACTCCATTGCAAAAAAAAAAAAGGCCACTTAGCCCTGGCTTTCCCCACAGAACACTGAAGACACAGAGGAGCCCCTGGTCGCCTTCCAGAGCACGGAACCTAAGATGGGTCACCTGTCTCCCTCTAACAAGGAGACCATCACGGTCACCCTCCATGGAGCCACCAACCTGCCTGCCTGCAAGGATGGTTCCGAGCCATGGCCCTATGTGGTGGTGTAAGTAGCTGTGTGAGAGTGGGGTCAGGCGATGGGTTGGGCTGTGAGCAGAAACCAGGGGACAGCTATTTGGAATATGAGCACCCAAAGGCCCAGGACTGGGTCATACCCAGAGGGGAAGAGCCACTGTGGGCACTGCCTGGCATCTCCACTGCTGCATGGGAAGCTGCTCACCAGGGCTGGGGAAGGCAGGGTGCCAAGGGGTCCAGAGAGTCACCCCTCCCCACCCCACTCCAGCGGGGCAGGGATTGGCCACAGCTCAGCTCCAGTGGGGCAGGGCGCTTGTATGCAGAGGCCTGGGCTGGGCTCATGGGCATGATGGTCAGATTGGGGAAGGGGAATATTTGGGGCCTGCCTCTCCTGACTTCTGGGTGCCCCACCCCACCATACCCAGCCCTGGGGTAGGGTCTTCATAACCACCCTCCCCTCCCCTCCTTCTCCAGTCACTTCTATCATGGGGACTCCCATAGTTCTGGGCCTTTAATGCACCCCACACACCCCCTCCAGCCAGCTGCTGTCAGGGTACACACTTCCCCAGCCTGGCGCCAAGGCCTGCCATGCCACATCTATGCCCACCTCACGGGTCTCACTTCTTCCAGAAAGGCACCAAGTGGCAACACAATCTCCATCCAGCCAACCTTCCCTGGGGACACTAGACATGTGCTCAATCTTTACTATAAAGCACCCTCCAAGGAGCACATCAACCCTATACCCCTTCTGTAGACAGACGGTGGGAGCCTTGGTGGCCTCCCACCAAGCCACTCTATACTTCCCCTCCCCCAATACTAGCACCATTCAGTTCCTGCCAAGAGTCTGTTGCCCACATTTCCTTTTGGGGAGTGCCTGCCCCAGCCCTCTCATCAATGCCTGCTGAAATCCTGCCTTCAAAGCCTCCTCCTCCAGGCAGCCACCAGAGTTGAGCTCTCCCTCCTCCGGAGCACCACAGCAGTGGTGACCCTGGTCTGAAGGACTTTATATCGATATGGTTTATGCACTTCTCTGGGGCTCCCTGAGGACGGATCTCCTCCTCCATTTCCCCCAACAATGCACCCAACATAGGCCTGAGCCCAGACTTAGGGGCCAAGGAGTGACTGAGGCCAACACCTGGTTACTATGACAAGTCCCTGCCCCCCCAGCACCCCACTGTGAAAGAGGGATAGAAGCTGTGCCGAGACCAACAGGTGAAACACTTGCCTCAAAAGCCCCATTTGTGCCAGCCCAGCTCCTCGGCCCTCCCTCCCCCAACTCCATTTCCGTGGTGAGGGAAGGACAGGTGGCGGGAGCAGGCTTGGCAGGGAGGCTGTTTCTAGCGGGGAGCTCGCCTTCTCCGCTCAGCTATTTCCATAAACCAATTATCGCCGATCATCTCGGGAGATTGAGGCCCTGACTGTCACCAATCCAGCCTGGGCGGCGGGGCGGGGAGCTGGGTGGCCGCGTGGCTCCTAGGCAGGCACCTCGACCCGCGCCATCACCCGGTTGCCATGGGAATGCGCGGCAGGAGCCTAGGCGACCCGAGCCTGGGGGGGGATAAGAGAGCCGGGCACACCCCAGTCCTCCTGCGCCCTCCCTGTGGCTGCCGCACGTGGGGCGGGAGAGAGGGTGGGGACAGAGAACGCGGGGAAGGGGAAGGGGAAAGCACGTCGCTGCACCCCTCTCCAGCTGGGAGCAGCGCCTGGGTCAGGCTGCAGCCTGCCTCCCAGGGCTCCAGAAAGGTGGAGCTGCCACCAGCTCGACGTGGTGCTAATGAGATGCAAATGAAGGGAGAAGGAAGGGCTTCTGGAAATGAGGGCCCAGCTGTCAGGACCTGAAGGGGGCTTTCAGTGCTGGCCCCCAGCCCCAGGCAGGAACCCCAGAGGGAAGATCCAGATCCTCAGAGGCCATAGACCCTGGAAAGAATTTTATATCCCTGCACATCTGATTACAAATACACAAGTAACAAAGCACGCAATAGGCATAGGAAAGTTCACAAAAGTTTTCGTTTTCTTCATGATGAATACTTCAATGCTTTTTTAAAAATATGTATTTATTTGTAAAGACTTAAATGTAAGACCTGCAACTGTAACACCCCCTAGAAGAAAACATAGGGGAAAGCCTCCTTCACATTGGTCTTGGCATTTAATCTTTGGATATGACACCGGAAGTACAGGCAACAAAAGCAAAAATAAACAAGTGAGACTGCATCAAACTAAAAAGTTTCTGCACAGCAAAGGGAATAATCCGCAAAACAAAAAGGCTGCCTATGGTATGGGAGAAAATATTTGCAAACCATGTATCTGATAAGGAGTTAATATCCAAAATATATGAGTAACTCATACAACTCAACAGCAAAAAGACAACGCAATTTAAAAAATGAGAAAAAGACCCAAATAGACATTTTTCCAACAAAGAAATACAAATGGCCAACAGGCACATGAAAAGGTGCACATCACTAATCATCAGGGAAATGCAAATCAAAGCCACAAGGAGATATCGCTTCACACCTGGTAGGATGGCTGTTCTCAAAAACACAAGAGATAAGTGTTGGTGAGGGTGTGGAGAAAAGAGAACCCTTGTACACTGTTGGTGGGAATGTACAGTAAAAAGGTGCAGCCATTGTGGAACACAGCATGGAGGTTCCTCAAAAAATTGAATATAAAACTACCATATGATCCAGCAATCTCACTACTGGGTACATATCCAAAGGAAACAAAATCAGTTACTTGAAAAGATATCTGGCCGGGCGAAGTGGCTCACGCCTGTAATCCAGCACTTTGAGGGGCCGAGGTGGGTGGATCACAAGGTCAAGAGTTCAAGACCACCCTGGCCAATATGGTGAAACCCCGTCTCTACTAAAAATACAAAAATTAGCCGGACATGGTGGCAGGCTCCTGTAATCCCAGCTGCTAGGGAGGCTGAAGCAGGAGAATTGCTTGAACCTGGGAGGCGGAGGTTGCAGTGAGCCAAGATTGTGCCACTGCACTCTAGCCTGGGCAACAGAGCGAGACTCCATCTCAAAAAAATAGGCTGGGCGAGGTGGCTCAAGCCTGTAATCCCAGCACTTTGGGAGGCCGAGGCGGGCGGATCACAAGGTCAGGAGATCAAGACCATCCTGGTTAACACAGTGAAACCCCATCTCTACTAAAAATACAAAAAGAAATTAGCCGGGGGTGGTGGCGGGCGCCTGTAGTCCCAGCTACTCCAGAGGCTGAGGCAGGAGAATGGCGTGAACCCGGGAAGCCGAGCTTGCAGTGAGCTGAGATCGCGCCACTGCACTCCAGCCTGGGCGACAGAGCGAGACTCCGTCTCAAAAAAGAAAAAAAGAGAAAAAAAGAAGAAAGAAAAGAAAAGATATCTGGGCCGGGTGCAGTGGCTCATGCCTGTAATCCCAGAACTTTGGAAGGCAGAGGCAGGTGGATCATCTGAGGTCAAGAGTATCCCTATATTCATTGCGGAATTATTCACAATAGTTAAGATATAGGATCAACCTAAGTATTTGTTGATGAATGAATGGATAAAGAAAGTGTCATATATATATACACACACGTGTTATATACATATATTTGTATATACTTCTGTCATATATACACACACAATTATATATTGTATACATATATGTCCACATATATACAACACATACACAATGGAATATTATTCTGCCATAAAAGGGAGGACATCCTGCCATTTGTGACAATGCAGATGAGCTTGGAGGACATTATGCTAAATGAAATAAGCTAGATACAGAAAGACAAATACTGCATAATGTCACTTAACGGAATCTAAGATGAACTCATAGATGCAGAGAGTTGAATGGTGGCTATCAGGAGCTGGGGATGAGGAAAATTAGGAAATGTTGGTTAAAGGATACAAGCTCTCAGTTTTGGGATGAGTAATTCTGGAGATCTAATATGCAGCAGGTGACTCTAGTTAATGATACTGTATTGTGGCTGGGCACAGTCATGTGCCAGACCTCAGGTGATCAAGACAGGCAGATCACCTGAGGTCAGGAGTTTGAGACCAGCCTGGCCAACATGGTGAAACCCCATCTCTACTAAAAATACAAAAATTAGCTTGGCGTATTGGTGCACACCTGTAATTCCAGCTACTTGGGAGGCTGAGGCAGGAGAATCACTTGAACCTGAGAAGTGGAGGCTGCAGTGAGCTGAGATTGTGCCAGCGCACTCCAGCCTGGGCGACAGAGTAAGACTGCGTCTGAAAAAAAAAGATAACTATATTATGTATTTGAAATGTGCTAAGAGTAGATTTTAAGTGTTTTCACCACATACACAAAAAATAACTGTGAGGTGATAGATATGTTAATTAATTTGATCATGATAATCACTGTAGAAAGTATATGTGTATCAAATCATCACTTTGTACATTTTAAATACATATAAATTTTATTTTTATTTGTCAATTATATCTCAATAAAACTGGGAATATATATATATAATTTTACCTTCTTTCCAAGCATTTTTTCTCATCTTTTTGCTGCCCCTGTTTTCTGGTACCCTGAGCTTAGTCTCCTGGCTTGGTTTCCTGCCCTCTGCCATCCCATCTTCTCTCACCTGAGGTTGGGGATGGGGATCCTGGGAATCCCTGTCTCAGCCTGAGTTCTGTCCTTCTCTCTGGGTTTGTTGCATCCCCAGCAGGCAGGACCACAGTTTCAGGGGTCGGGGCAGGGGGAGTAGTGAAGCACAGACCTGAGAGTGCCCCAGAACTGTTCACTCATTCATCCCCTTAGTGGGGAGCTGAGGAGGATTCAGGCCCAAAGATGGTACTTCTCTTGTTTGGGGCATGGCCACTTCACCCCTTAGGAAGGCACCAGGCTTGAGTCCATCTAGTAATAGGCACATCCTCCAGCCAAAACTATTCCAGACCAGCAGGCACCTGGCTCATCTTGTGGGTCAGCCTCTCTTCATCTAAGCCACTGGTTGGCTTCCAATCTGACCCCACTTCTCCACCAATATAGCTTCTCTGTAGTCACCAGTGACCACCATCCCTGGCCCTGCATCCAACGGGCA